AGTTAGTAGTTAGTTAGTTAGTTAGTTAGTAGTTAGTTAGTTAGTAGTTAGTTAGTTAGTTAGTTAGTTAGTTAGTTAGTTAGTTAGTTAGTTAGTAGTTAGTTAGTTAGTTAGTTAGTTAGTTAGTTAGTTAGTTAGTTAGTTAGTTAGTTAGTTAGTTAGTTAGTAGTTAGTTAGTTAGTTAGTTAGTTAGTTAGTTAGTTAGTTAGTTAGTTAGTTAGTTAGTTAGTTAGTTAGTTAGTTAGTTAGTTAGTTAGTTAGTTAGTTAGTTAGTTAGTTAGTTAGTTAGTTAGTTAGTTAGTTAGTAGTTAGTTAGTTAGTTAGGTAGTTAGTTAGTTAGTTAGTTAGTTAGTTAGTTAGTTAGTTAGTTAGTTAGTTAGTTAGTCGTTAGTTAGTTAGTTAGTTAGTAGTTAGTTAGTTAGTTAGTTAGGTTAGTTAGTTAGTTAGTTAGTTAGTTAGTTAGTTAGTTAGTTAGTTAGTTAGTTAGTTAGTTAGTTAGTTAGTTAGTTAGTTAGTTAGTTAGTTAGTTAGTTAGTTAGTAGTTAGTTAGTTAGTTAGTTAGTTAGTTAGTTAGTTAGTAGTAGTTAGTTAGTTAGTTAGTTAGTTAGTTAGTTAGTTAGTAGTTAGTTAGTTAGTTAGTAGTTAGTTAGTTAGTTAGTTAGTTAGTTAGTTAGTTAGTTAGTTAGTTAGTTAGTTAGTTAGTTAGTTAGTTAGTTAGTAGTTAGTTAGTTAGTTAGTTAGTTAGTTAGTTAGTTAGTTAGTTAGTTAGTAGTTAGTTAGTTAGTTAGTTAGTTAGTTAGTTAGTTAGTTAGTTAGTTAGTTAGTTAGTTAGTAGTAGTTAGTTAGTAGTTAGTTAGTTAGTAGTTAGTTAGTTAGTAGTTAGTTAGTTAGTTAGTTAGTTAGTTAGTTAGTTAGTTAGTTAGTTAGTTAGTTAGTTAGTTAGTTAGTTAGTTAGTTAGTTAGTAGTAGTTAGTAGTTAGTTAGTTAGTTAGTTAGTTAGTTAGTTAGTTAGTTAGTTAGTTAGTTAGTAGTTAGTTAGTTAGTTAGTTAGTTAGTTAGTTAGTTAGTTAGTTAGTTAGTTAGTTAGTTAGTTAGTTAGTTAGTTAGTAGTTAGTTAGTTAGTTAGTTAGTTAGTTAGTTAGTTAGTTAGTTAGTTAGTTAGTAGTTTAGTTAGTTAGTTAGTAGTTAGTTAGTTAGTTAGTTAGTTAGTTAGTTAGTTAGTTAGTTAGTTAGTTAGTTAGTAGTTAGTTAGTTAGTTAGTTAGTTAGTTAGTTAGTAGTTAGTTAGTTAGTTAGTTAGTTAGTTAGTTAGTTAGTTAGTTAGTTAGTTAGTTAGTTAGTTAGTAGTTAGTTAGTTAGTTAGTTAGTAGTTAGTTAGTTAGTAGTTAGTTAGTTAGTTAGTTAGTTAGTTAGTAGTAGTTAGTTAGTTAGTTAGTTAGTTAGTTAGTTAGTTAGTTAGTTAGTTAGTTAGTTAGTTAGTTAGTTAGTTAGTTAGTTAGTTAGTTAGTTAGTTAGTTAGTTAGTTAGTTAGTAGTTAGTTAGTTAGTTAGTAGTTAGTTAGTTAGTTAGTTAGTTAGTTAGTTAGTTAGTTAGTTAGTTAGTTAGTTAGTTAGTTAGTTAGTAGTTAGTCAGTTAGTTAGTTAGTTAGTTAGTTAGTTAGTTAGTTCGTTAGTTAACTCTCTGCTTTTCATTCTTCCTATGACTTTTCTTAAGCTGCGGACCAAACCGGGTACGCTAGTAACATATAAACAATCTCATTTACATACACACATACATATTTAAAATGCAGGTTGTTCCCACTTTCTATTCCTTCCTGTACCTATCCTTCTTACTCCCCATATGCATATTTTTTTAGATTATTTTTACGAAATGTTTGTATCTGATACAACAAATATATGAATAACGTTATACAATGAACCCACAACAACAAGAAAATACAACAACACTAGAATAATAATAACAGGCATTTGAAATTTGTACCTTTTTCCTATTCATTTTTCATTTTGTGGTTTTTAAAAATTTTATTCATTCATTCTCTGCTCATTCAACCAACGAAGCAACCAAATTACTTAGTCGGTCTGAGATAGTTTTCATATTTAAACATGCATATGTATGTATGTACTATAAGCTTCTACTCTTATACATATGAACATATGTATATATATATAAGGACTGCCCTAAAAGTAAGACAATTTGTCCACAAAAAGTGATGCTCTATCCTAGACAACATATAGAAAGTTCTTCTGGACAACTTTTCTATAGAAAATTTTGTTTTAGTCTAGTTCTTAAGTCTAGACAACTTTTCTATAAAAAATTAGCCAAAGTCTAGGCAATTTGTCCGCCATTTATATTTTATATACTATTTAGTCTGAACAACTTATTTTGTTATTTTGCAATTTGAGAAAAATCATCTCCTAATATTGACCCACTGTTTTGTTTACCTATCTAGACTTACTATGTGTGGGAGCAATAGTGTGTTCACTATTTATATGTTTAGTACAACTTAAATAGTTTTACAAAATTTTTTCATGTTTTATGATTCTTGTTTTATTTACAAGTATTTTTTAAAGGAATTATGATTACTTTTCTGAAGTTAAATTTAAAATGTTTTTATTGTTTTGTTAGAAATTTTACAAATAGTTGCACATTCGTTGCAGTTTGAATTTTATGATAGGTTTTTATAAAAGGGAGAAAACACATAAATTTAAATCCAGAAATATTATAATAAAGAAAATTAAAGTTATATATTTTACTGCTTCAAAAAATACTTAGAAGAGGCTAGTATTATAAAGATACGAATTATAATAAACTTTTCTTTCTGAATTTCAAAGTTTCAAGTATAAGTTTTATAATATATTAAATTTAGTTTAATACCATATTTATCAATTTCGTTGGTTTAAGCTTTTTTTTAGCAAAGTGTAAAAATAAACTTTTTCTTATCACTTAATCCGTTAAATAAGGTTTTAAGTAAAACTTTTTGTTGCAAGTAAACCAAAACGTGTGTCAAACATCAATTTGCCCAACTGACGTCAATCTGTTTCATCATCAATATTGTCAATGTCGTCAGTCAACTCCTATCAATATAAAGACCAAAATTATTTTTGAATTTATTTTTTATTTCGTTTCTTAGTTTTACATAACATTTCTTACGAATGTGTAGATACAATGGAAAAAAGTTAAAATTGCGAAATAATACAAATACTTGGAAATTTATGTAATTTATTGTACCAAATACTTTATAATTTAAAATTTATAAAAATAGAAAATTTGAACAATAAAATATAATTTTTCTCTGAGAAAATTTGCTCTGGTTTAAACAACTTTTCTATAGAAAAAGTTGCTTTAGTCTAGACAACTTTTCTATAGAGAAAGTTGCTCTTGTATAGACAACTTTCCTATAGAAAAAGTTGCTCTAGTCTAGACAACTTTTCCGTAGAAAAAGTTGCTCTAGTCTAGACAACTTTTCTATAGAAAAAGTAGCTCTAGTCTAGACAGCTTTTCTATACAAACTGTTCCTCTAGTCTAGAAAAAGTTGCTCTCTTCTAGATAACTTTTTTATAGAAAATGTTGCTCTCTTCTAAACAACTTTTCTAGTGAGAAAGTTGCTCTAGTCTAGAACACTTTTATATAGAAAAAGTTGCACTAGTCTAGACAACTTTTCTATAGAAAAAGTTTCTCTAGTCTAGACAACTTTTCTATAGAAAAAGTTGCTCTCGTGTTGACAATTATTCTAACGAAAAAGTCTAGAAAAAGTTGCTCTCTTCTAGATAACTTTTTTATAGAAAATGTTGCTCTCTTCTAAACAACTTTTCTAGTGAGAAAGTTGCTCTAGTCTAGAACACTTTTATATAGAAAAAGTTGCACTAGTCTAGACAACTTTTCTATAGAAAAAGTTTCTCTAGTCTAGACAACTTTTCTATAGAAAAAGTTGCTCTCGTGTTGACAATTATTCTAACGAAAAAGTTGCTCTAGTCTAGACAGCTTTTCTATAGAAAAAGTTGCTCTAGTCTGTACAACTTTTCTATAGAGAAAGTTGCTCTTGTATAGACAACTTTCCTATAGAAAAAGTTGCTCTAGTATAGACAACTTTTCCGTAGAAAAAGTTGCTCTAGTCTAGACAACTTTTCTATAGAAAAAGTAGCTCTAGTCTAGACAGCTTTTCTATGCAAACTGTTCCTCTAGTCTAGACAGCTTTTCTATAGACAAATTTGCTCTAGTCTGGACAACTTTTTCATAGAAAAACTTGCTATAGTCTATACAACTTTTCTATACAAAAAGTTGCTCTCGTCTAAACAACTTTCCTATAGAAAAAGTTGCCCTCGTCTTGCTCTAATCTAGACAACTTTCCTATAGAAAAAGTTGCTCTAGTCTATAGAACTTTTTTATAGAAACAGATGTTCTAATCTTGACAACTTTACAAATAGAAAAAGTTGCTCTCGTGTTGACATTTATTCTAACGAAAAAGTTGCTCTAGTCTAGGCAGCTTTTATATAGAAAAAGTTGATCTAGTCTATACAATTTTTCTATAAAAAAGATGCTCTTGTATAGACAACTTTCCTATAGAAAAAGTTGCTCTAGTCTAGACAACTTTTCCATAGAAAAAGTTGCTCTAGTCTAGACAACTTTTCTATAGAAAAAGTAACTCTAGTCTAGACAGCTTTTCTATACAAACTGTTCCTCTAGTCTAGACAGCTTTTCTATAGAAAAATTTGTTCTAGTCTGGACAACTTTTCCATAGAAAAACTTGCTCTAGTCTAGACAATTTTTCTATAGATAAAGTTGCTCTAGTCTTGACAACTTTTCTACAACTTTCTATAAAAAAAATTACAAACTCTAAAATGTAAATAAATATGTTAATCCCTTTATATAAAATCTCCTTTTAAAAATTTTCCTTAAGAACTCTTTTAAAACAGAACTTATCTTAATTCCCATTGCTAAAACTTATATAAATATATAAATTTATTTACTAACAATTCCAATAAATATTAAATAAACACTTACCAGTAACCAGTAGTTTACAAAGCCTCTCCTGCTGCAAAATAATAACAATAAAAATATAAAATAAACTTTTAGTAAAGATATTTGCATTATAAAATAAACAATATTTGCCTGACACTTTATGGTTTAAAATTTGCTACATAGAAATTTAATTTTATTTAGTTTATAGTATGACATAAAAATAAAACTTTATGACAGACAAATTGCATTTTTTATTCGACTCTAAAGTAAAATAAGAATATATTTTGCATATTTATTTATTAAGAAAAGCAAATAAATTAAAACTAAATAAGTAATAAATGTAGTTTTATAAACATTAAATTAAATTTGAATTTCCAGAAAATTGCTTTACATAAGCAAACGTATGATTTATTTGGAATTCAGCAACAATAATCATACGCTGTGTTTTAATAACATATAAAATTATGAACTTTTAACTAGTTTCTAACTAACATGAAATTCAAATTACTTCCTAAGATATATTAACTAAATTGTTGCATTATTCGTTTTACCAGAAAATGTGTTTTTCTTTTAATTATTCCTTTTTTGTTGTGTGTTGAACATTGTTATAGAAATCACTTTGTAAAGTTTTAATAACTTTTATTTAAGTTAACAATTTCGTATATGCTTTTTAGCTTTATCTTTATTTTTTCCACAATTTATAACTTTAAAATGTTTGGAATTTTGTTAACAATGCAACAGCAACTATGTTTGTATTTAGTGTATAAAGTAGACAACTATATTGCAGCATTAACTATAAAATGTTATTATGTCGTCACCATAATAGTGATGTTAACTTTGTATTAGTTTTTACACAGGAGATGATTTAAATAAAGGCACTTTTCTATAGAATATTACAGATATGTTTTCTATAGAAAATGATGCTCTATTCCAGACAACATCTCTATAAAAAAAGTTGCTCTAGTCTAGACAACTTTTCTATAGAAAAATTTGCTACAGTCTAGACAACTTTTCTATAGAAAAAGTTGCTCTAAGCTAGACAACTTTTCTACAGAAAAATTTGCTCTATTCTAAACAACTTTTCTATAGAAAAAGTTGCTCTAAGCTAGACAACTTTTCTATAGAAAAAAAAAAACTGCTCTAGTCCAGACAACTTTTCTATGGAAAAAGCTGCTCTATTCTAGACAATTTTTCTATAGAAAAAGTTGCTCTAGTCTACTCAACATTTCTATATAGAAAAAGTTGCTCTAGTCTTGACAACTTTTCTATAGAAAAAGTTGCTCTAGTCTTGACAACTTTTCTATAGAAAAAGCTGCTCTATTCTAGACAACTTTTCTATAGAAAAAGTTTCTCTAATCTATAACTTTTTTATAGACAACGTTGCTCTAGTCTAGACAACTTTTCTATAGAAAAATTTGCTCTAGTCTTGACAACTTTTCTATAGAAAAAGTTGCTCTAGTCTAGACAACTTTTCTATAGAAAAAGTTGCTCTTGTCTAGACAACTTTTCTATAGAAAAAGTTGCTCTAGTCTAGACAACTTTTCTATAGAAAAAGTTGCTCTAGTCAAGACAACTTTTCTATAGAAAAAGTTGCTCTAGTCTAAACAACTTTTCTATAGAAAAAGTTGCTCTAGTCTAGACAACTGTTCTATAGAAAAAGTTGCTCTAGTCTAGACAACTTTTCTACAGAAAAAGTTGCTCTAGTATAGACAACTTTTCTTTAGAAAAAGTTGCTCTAGTCTATACAATTTTTCTATAGAAAAAGTTGCTCTAGTCTAGACAACTTTTCTGTAGAAAAATTTGCTCTAGTCTAGACAACTTTTCTATAGAAAAAGTTGCTCTAGTCAAGACAACTTTTCTATAGAAAAAGATGCTCTAGTCTAAACAACTTTTCTATAGAAAAAGTTGCTCTAGTCTAAACAACTTTTCTATAGAAAAAGTTGCTCTAGTCTAAACAACTTTTCTATAGAAAAAGTTGCTCTAGTCTAAACAACTTTTCTATAGAAAAAGTTGCTCTAGTCTAAACAACTTTTATATAGAAAAAGTTGCTCTAGTCTAGACAACTTTTCTATAGAAAAGGTTTCTCTAGTCTAGACAACTTTTCTATAGAAAAGGTTTCTCTAGTCTAGACAACTTTTCTATAGAAAAAGTTCCTCTTGTCTAGACAACTTTTCTATAGAAAAAGTTGCTCTAGTCTAGACAACTTTTCTATAGAAAAAGTTGCTCTAGTCTAGACAACTTTTCTATAGAAAAAGTTGCCCTAGTCTAGACAACTTTTCTATAGAAAAAGTTGCTCTAGTCTAGACAACTTTTATATAGAAAAAGTTGCTCTAGTCTAGACAACTTTTCTATAGAAAAAGTTGCTCTAGTCTAGACAACTTTTATATAGAAAAATTGCTCTAGTCTAGACAACTTTTCTATAGGAAAAATTGCTCTAGTCTAGACAACTTTTCTATAGGAAAAGTTGCTCTAGTCTAGACAACTTTTCTATAGAAAAAGTTGCTCTAGTCTAGACAACTTTTCTATAGAAAAAGTTGCTCTAGTCTAGACCACTTTTATATAGAAAAAGTTGCTCTAGTCTAAACAACTTTTCTATAGAAAAAGATGCTCTAGTCTAGACAACTTTTCTATAGAAAAAATTGCTCTAATTTATAACTTTTTTATAGAAAAATTTTCTCTATTATTTTGTCTTTAATAAAATTTCCTTTAGTGTTACCACATATCGTGCTGTACTTGGCATAAAACTACTTTCATATGAGACATTTTAAGATGTTTTTTTTTATTATTTCGTAAAGTAGTAAAACCAACTCTTTTAGCCAAATACGATAGTGACAAAAGCAAATAGTTACAAAGTTGTTGTTGAGCAAATATTATCATGGCTTCTAAAAACTTGAAGAAAATTGCAAACGAAGAAAGGGTTTTTCAGAATTATTATATTTGTGTAAAACCTAATAACAGTGGGATTTTTCTCATACTATAACCATAATGTCATTTCATTGTAGAAAAATAATAAAAATTTATAGAAATCTACTCGTAATACATGCAATGATTTAGGTTTTTTTTCATTTAATAATTTGATATTAGCTTAACGAGATGTGAGTGTGTTGGCAATATGAACAAATGCTAAAAACTAACATTTGACATTATAAACTTTTTTCTCTTGTTGTTGCTGTTGCTATTTTTTTCATAATTATTTAAAAAAACCAACTCTGCATGATTACAATAAAATGCTGTATTTTTAGTTTCTATTGTTTGTTAATCTTTAAATCTTGCATTGTGCTAAATACTAGGAAGAAAATATTCTAAAATATGAAATCATTGTTATACATTTTACGTCATTAATGTTTAATAAAATCGATAAATGAGTTTTTTTTTCCATATGATTTGTATTATATTTTTATTTTTATTATTATTTTTGTTATTTCTATTAGCATTAGACAAAATATGTGTAGACGTAAGTCTATATAAAATCATTTATTATTTATACGTAGAAAAATAACATATGACGTATGATGAATTGAGATAAAATATTAATCATACGTTCAATTTGTGTTAATAAAAGCAGAGAAAGTTGTTTGTTGTTATAGTGTGGGTATACATTAACGTATTTGAAGGCGGTTAAAGTGTCAAAGATAATTTTATATTAATGTATATAAAAATGTATGTACATAAATAATATAATTTGATATTTATCTTGATTATGTCTGAAATATAAAAATTAATCAAATTACAATGTTTTAAAAGTTATTTGATTTATTTTTTTATTTTTATCATTCACATTCTCATGAATTAAAAATTACTCTAGTCTAGGTAACTTTTCTATAAAAATGGTTGCTCTAATGTAGAAAACTTTTCAATACAAAAAGTTGCTCTAGTCTGGACATCTTTTCTATAGAAAAAGTTGCTCTAGTCTAAAAAACGTTTCTATAGAAAAAGTTGCTCTAGTCTAGACAAATTTGCAATAGAAAAAGTTGCTCTAGTCAAGACAACTTTTCTATAAAAAAGTTGCTCTAGTCAAGACAACTTTTCTATAGAAAAAGTTGCTCTAGTCTGATCAACTTTTCTATAGAAAAAGTTGTTCTAGTGTAGACATATTTTCTATAGAAAAAGTTGCTCTAGTCTAGACTACTTTTCTATAGAACAAGTTGCTCTAGTCCAGACAACTTTTCTATAGAAAAAGTTGTTCTAATCTAGACAACTTTTCTATAAAAAAAAGTTGCTCTAGTCAAGCCAAGTTTTTATAGAAAATATGACTCTTGTCTACATTTAAAATTTTTCTATAAAATAGTTGCTCTAGTCTAGGCAACTTTTCTATAGAAACGTTGGTTTAGTCTAGACAACTTTTCTATAGAAAAAGTTGCTTTAATCAGGATCACTTGTCTATAGAAATGTTTGCTCTAGTCTAGACAACTTTTCTATAGAAAAAGTAGATCTAGTCTAGACATCTTTTCTACAGAAAAAGTTGCTCTAGTCTAGACAATATTTGTATAGAAAAAGTTGCTCTATTCTAGACATCTTTTCTATAGAAAAAGTTACTCTAGTCTAGACAACTTTTCTATAGAAAAAATAGCTCTAGTCTAGACAATATTTCTATAAAAAAAAATTTGCTCTAGTCTAGACCACTTTTCTACAGAAGAAGTTGCTCTAGTCTAGACCACTTTTCTATAGAAAAAGTTGCTCTAGTCTAAACCACTTTCCTATAGAAAAAGTTGCTCTAGTCTAGACAATTTTTCTATAGAAAAAGTTGCTCTAATCTGGAAAACTTTTACGTACAAATAGCTGCTCTACTCCGGAAACATTTTCTATAGAAAAAGTGACACTAGATTCTAAACAACTTTTCTCATATTTCTCATACGCTCATAAACCTACATTTTATATGAGATAGAAACAATTTTGTATGAAATTCTATTATGTTTCTGTATTAGGATTTTTTAATAGAAAAATTTATTGATTTCAATGTTTTGTTATAAAAGACCTTGTTAAAGTATGATTAATTTTCAATAATTCTCATATTACTCATACGTTCTTCTACTTTTCTTTAGAAATTGTTCATTTATAAAAATCAAAAAAGAAAAAACTTTT